GAGCTGCTCTTCACTCGGAAGAGGCGGCCACTGCGAGGTTCGGGTTGTTCAGGTCGCCCTGGGGGATGGAGCCCCCGGACCTGAGCTGAGGAGGGGGCCCTGCTTCAAGGCTGAGTGGCGCTGAGCGACTCGGGACCCTGCGGGGACCTGGCCTGCCCTCGTGCCCTCCAGGTGGGGACTGGCTCGAGGGGAAGCAGAGCAGCAGCCGGGTCTATCTAACCCGCTGGAGGCGGGGAGGGTGTGGAAGCGGCGCTGGCGGCGAGGGGGAGGGGAGGGGGGGGCGCGGGGTGCATGCGGCTCCCACCTGAGGCCACAGCCTGTCCTGGGCGGCCACAGGGACAGCAGCAGACACCGTGGCCGCTGCACCAGCCAGGCTCTCCCAGAGTCTCAGGGCTGCCGCATTTTGAATCCTTGGAGTCTCAGGAGCTCGGTCCTGGTGTCCTGGTTTACAGCGAGGAGACCTAACCCCAACCCGGATTGGCCCCAGGCAGGCGGTTCTCCAGTGGCATGCAGCCCGCCCTCCGCCTGGTAGAAACTGCAGACACTTTTTCAAGAAGCTCAGGGAAATGTCCATTATGAAAGAATGTGTGGATTTCATTTCTTGCACTAAAATAAATTTGAACTGTTGAAGTCTCACACAAGGAGCTGGGGTTTGGCGTGTTTATGCTTGTGAGCTCATTGCTTGCCCCCAGGAGCTGTCAGGCCTGGCTATGGCTTGCTTTCTCTTCTCAGGGTTTGCCATAAGGCACGTGTGTTCAGTGGAGAGACACAGAGAGGGAAAGTGAGAAATCACCCCCCAGGGGGGCCGGCCACCCACAGTCCCTTCTCCATTCTCCTCTCGGGATCTTGGCATGCACGCACATGCACCCAGCGTGTTTTTCCAGTGGCCGGGTCCAGGACTCGAACTCAAGTGGAGTTGGCCATGTGGGATCTAGAGCCTTAATCACCATGCCACCTGCTGGCTCTGGGTTTGCAGACAGGACAGAGCAACATCCAGTGACTGGGTGGGAACTCGAGCACCACCAGCCTTGGGAAAGCGTTCTCGCAGTCGGTGGTGGTCCAGGGGAGAAGCAGAGTTGGGTGGGGAGGACCCCGTCGGGGCCGGGGGGAGGACATGTGGGGAGGCAGTTCAGGAGAGTTTACTTATTTATTGAGAGGGGCACCCCTGACGGTGGGGTCTTTGTGCCGTGACCCCCCACCTTAGCCCCCAGTCGCTGTGTGCGTGAGTGGGCTGGTGTGTGTACAGGGAAGCATCGGGATATGAACCTGGGACCTCCCGACGAGGGCATAGCGTCACAGCACGTTGTGTGTCCCGGTAAAAGTACGGAAGGAACCGGTTCTGACCCGGTGGTTGAGGCAGCCGGACCCACATGGCGACGGCGTGGTTCAAGTGCTGGCCCTGTTGGCTTGAGCAAGTGCTGGGCACGTGTGTGCTTGCCCTAAGGCCCGAAAGGAGGGGGGGAGGGGGGGCGATGGCCAATCCTGTGGGGTGTGCTCCTGTCTCACTCGCCTCTGTCTCTCTCTGGTGAACACACGTGCCTCTAGCACCCCTAAAAACAAACCTCCTTCACAGGGTCGCTGGCACCCGAGTAGGAAAGCTGACTCTAGAGTGGGAGTGGGAGACGGCACACGGCCGAGGACCTGGTAGGGATGTGGCGGTTGCCATGCGACCACGGCAGCACGCGTAGCTGAGGCCATCGAGGGCACAGTGAGGACAGGAAGGGCTGAGGGCCGACATGGCATGAACCATAGTGTTGGAATCCTTTCAAATCCGAGACGGATGTGTGGCACCGAAGCCACTTTTCAAACCCAGCCTTGGCATCCCCTGGCAGGTCCTTGCTGGGTAGACCCCCAGTCTTGATCTCATGCGTCCCAGGTTCCTGGCGGGGTTTATTCGGGCTGGGCCAGCAGCTGTGATTGTCTCTGGCTGGCTAGGCCATGAGTCTGCGGCCCAGAGCTTGTAGGCGGTACCAAGTTAAACAAACTGCCTTGGGGCATAGGGCCAGCAGGTGGCATGGAGGTCAAGGTGCCAGGCTCCCACTTGGCTGACCACAGTTTGAGTCCTGGGCCTGGGGACTTGAGAATCCTGCAGGGCATATGTGTGTGCTTGAAATCCCAAGAGAAGACTGGGGGAGAAGGGGTTGTGGTGTGGCCAACCACGCTGGGTGGCGATTTCTCACTCTCCCTCTCCCCCTCCCTCTCTCTCTCTCTTTCTCTCTCTCTGGTAAGTGTACACGCCTCATATCAGACACATCGGGTACCTCCCCCTGTCTTCGCTTACACCCCCCCACTGGAGACTCCGGCCCTCCCGCCCGTGGCTTAGCGCACATCCCATACTCGGGATTTAGATCATTTGTTTCTTGGGGCGGGGGCTCTGTGGGGTCCGGGAGAGCCTGGGTCTATCGCCAACGTCTGTCGACGGCCAGCACCTGGTGGGGTCTGGTCCTGACCCCCGATCTTTCGGTTCACAGGAGCAGGCGACCTGCAGACAAATGTCACCCTGACCCCGGAGTCACTTCCTCCTGGGAAGCTGTTAGCAAGCTCAGCAGCGTGGCCTTTCTCCGACATCCAGGCCTCCCGGGCCACAGACAGGATCAAGACCGTGCTGGGACAGTCCCCCGACAGCGTGCGCCGGCCACAGGCAGCCCCGACGCCTCCGCCCAGGCCGCACCGCAGGTCCTGGGCTCACGCCGACTTCTCCCCTGCCCTACACCAAGGGAGTGGGCAGAGCGCCCCCCTGGAGCCTCCCGAGGACGCCGAGCCCCTGGCGCAGCCCCGGCCTCCGGGGGAAAGGGGCTCAGCCGCGGTGTCAGGTCTGCTTCTCTCCTTGCCCACGTCCCTGCCAGGGCTGCCCTCACCTGCCCACCCCTCTCAGCCAGGCCAGGAAGGGACTCCTCGCCCTTCAGAGCCTGCCCCGAGGTTCGACGGCACCCCCCTTCGCCCTCCGCCCAGCTCACCTGATCCCACTGTTTCCTCAGAGCTGCCTGCCCCGGGTGCCTTGCTCGGCTCAGCCACTCCACCCCAGCCCCCTTCCAGCCCCGCCTCGGCCAGTCCCCTCAGCCCGTTTTCAGATGAAGCCAACCACATGCCAGCCCGCCAGGCCCAGCAT